AGGCACACATTACTATCACATATTGAATGCAACATCTAAAAGGCAAGCACTCACCAACAATCTTCAGAAAAAATTATTCTTATGAAAGTCTGCAGAGCATATCAAAGTACTAAGCCATTATGTTCACTATATTTCAGAGACAAGTAAGAATGTAGCCTCAATGTATTATGTTTACTAAGAAATCTTATAGTATCCATGCTAGTAACATCTTAAAGGCATACACTCACAGTGTGTCTATCTGTATATATTCTGTAAAGACTTACTCAAAATATTAAACCAGAATGTCAGTAGGTAACCTGTAAGGGCAATAAACCATATGTCTACAAAAAATGCAAAAGCTCCATCGAAAGATTACGCCCATAAGGATGATACGTTTTAAGCCTATAAATCCAAAAGGCTTCACATTGTAGCAACTGCTTATGAACATCAGTTTGATTAAACCTGTTAGTGGTAACAATTTCTAATACTAAGAATCTAAAATCTTCAGAGTTATGGCCCTTGTCCAGAAAATGCTGGACCAAGGGCGCACATCCATATATTTGTGTTTTATGCGGGATTTGTGTCCTGTGATCCGTGTTCGAAGGGATCAAGTTGACATACCTACGTAATTTAATTCACAAGAACATTGTAAAAGATACACAACCCAATTGGTAGAACAGTTCGAAAAGAATTTGATTTCACTTTTGAAATTGACAGCCAGAGTCTTAGTTTCCCATGATTGGGCACAAACGGAGCATCTAAAACATTTGTGGTGCCCTGTAATGGCGGGCTTAGGGGCACTATGTGGAAACAAATCTGGAAACAATAAGGGTGTTCCGTATGCTATCTGTTTTATGAAAGCCTATGTAAGCTGCGGTGGCTCAAGTGGTTAAGATGCTGAACTGCAGGCTGTGGAAGGTCGGTAGTTCAGCAGTTCGAGACCCGAGTGTGCCGCATGATGGAGTGGGCTCCTGCCTCTAGTTCCAGCTTCTGCCAACCTAGCAGTTCGAAAGCAAGAAATTGCAAGTAGATAAACAGGTACCACTTCGGTGGGAAGGTAACAGCGTTCCGTGCGCCTTGGTGTTTAGTCATGCTGGCCACATGACCACGGAAATGTCTTCGGAGAGCGCTGTATCTTCGGCTTTGAAACGGAGATGAGCACCGCAACCCTAGAGTCGGACCCGACTGGCTTTCGAGCAAGGGAACCTTTACCTTTACTTTTTATGTAAGGTTTATCTGAACAGCCAGAAGCATCACCCAAAATATGCCAGTGTTTGAAAATAATATTACTAATAGAATAAGCCAATGGTGTATAGTCAATTGTGCAAAAAAAAAAAATAGACTCCTTCTTCAGTGCTGTTTCTTTAAATTAAGCTAGCCCGTTGCACAGAATAGGCATGACTGAAAGCTCTGGTGGCCACCTGTTGGGGATAACCCTGTAGAAGAAACTGGTTGTGCAACTTCGTGCATTCTCCTTGAAAATGCTCAAAAAAGGTAGAAATATGGCTACTATAAGACCTTTTAGTAGAAGTAATACACTGAGGCTACACTCTTATTTGTCTTTGAAATATGGTGAACATGAGAATTTGACCTTAGTACTTTTATATGCTCTGCAGACTTTTACAAGAATTGTTTTTTTTTAGGATTGTTAGTGAGTGCTTGCCTGTTTGTATATGTTTTAGATACTGTATTAAATATGTGATAGTAATGATTATTATTTTATTCTTATAGACTTGTTAACTGTATACAGCCTCAGTCTACAAATGTTAAAAATGATTCTTGCAGTTTGAAGTTATACATCAGTCCTGTTCAGAAGAAGACTCACAAAACAAATACTTTATCCAGAATTTTCACCTATCTATTATTTTGGACCTTTGTTTTGGACTTCTATCTCCTTTATATATAAAAGCCGAATGGTGGTGGCACTTCTCTAGAACATTCCATACGCTCCGGAATTGGTTGGCGCCCTGGTGTGTCACTCAGAATCTGTCCCTATCCACTGGCTGCATTGCTTGAGTCTCACCTCCAACATTCTAAACAGTTTGCTGTTCCTCTCCCCACCGTAGCCAGTCAGCACATAGAGGTTATTTGCATATGCAGCCTCATTGGCCTTTCCCTTGGAGATCACTCAGAATTACAACTGCTTTCCAGATGGCAGAGATTTGTTCCCCTGGAGAAAATGGTGGGCTCTGTATCCTTATATGCTGCTGAGGTGGCCCCCCTATGACAGTCAATGTGATGTAGCAGTCAGGGCTTCAGAGCACGGGAGAGGCTGCAGGTGTGTGGGGGGTGGAAAGCTGAAAAGTGAGGGGAAAATAAAGGTAGGTTGATGATTGGCTGGGAAGGAGAAAGGGTTGTCAACTCCAGGTGGGAAATTCCTGGAGATGTGAGGGATGGAGCCTGGAGAGGGTGGGGTTTCAGGAGGCGTGGGACCTCATACAGGTACAAAGCCATAGACTCCACCCTCTAAACCAACCATTCCCTTCTGGGGAACCATTGTTGCCAATCTCCAGGTGAGGGCTGGAGATCACTCAAAATTACAACTGTTCTTTAGGTAGCAGAGATCAGTTCCTCTGGAGAAAATGGTGGACTCAGTGTCATTATAACCTGCTGATGTCGCCACAGCAAATTGACACTGAGTGTCCAAGGCCAGGGCACCCGCCCAGAGCCTCTTTCTAGATACCGTTGTATTTATTTCCACAACGAACCTTTTTCCTAGTTGTTATATATTATTTTGTACCTTACATTGATTCATATTGCATTGTTATTGTCATATGTTACACTATTTGAACACAATTCATGAGTAATTGTTTACTTTAGTGTCTATACACAGCTTTGTGTTTTCTCTTTCTTATTGTTAATCTGTGGCTGTGGTTCTCTGTTTTTTTGAGCTTCTATGCTGTGCCAACTTTAAAAAAAAGCAGTGTGCACGAGCAATACCATATGAAATTATATCTGTGGTAGCAGAGCTTACCAGCACCAATAGTGGGTATCCCCTCCTATGGCTGTTACAGTGAGGGTAAATCATTTCAGTTTCAAGTACTAAATTTGGTGACCACCCCTGAGGCATCAGTTCAATAGTGAAGGGGATGTTCCTTTCATTGCTGCACTGATGCCTCAGACCAGGACCACAGGGCTAGTGTGACTTCAAAGAACTAGGACAAGAATGCCCCTTAGGGTGGATATGATACATGACTCAGAGTCTTTGTGACTAGGGACAAGGGATCTGGCATGCATCCCTCAAACATTGTTAAGTGTCTAGCAGGGCACGGCCTGAACAGAATATTTTCAGATGGAAACTGCAGTGGAGTTGCTGGGATTTGGGGGAAGCCTATGTAGAGGAGGCCTGACTTTTTTTGGCATCAGATTGTTACCCACACTGAACTAGAGTTTGAATCACTTAAAGTTACAATGACAGGAATTAAAGACAATGACAGATATTCCAAGGCTATAGTTCTGGTTTGAAGCTATGATACTTTGTTTCTTAGATGGACTTGTCTTCATAGATTTTTAAATGAACTTAATGGCTGTATTCAAAAAAATTTATCCTTTTCTCCTAGTTGTAATACTTGACAAAACACGTGATTCAGTCAAGCTTGGCAGTTTCTCATATAACAAATCAAGAATCAGACAATGTAGCCTAAAGAAGAGAGAGCTTATTCAAGTTTGGCAAAGAAGGATAATCCACACAGTCTCATTAAATCTGGTATGTGGAATTTCTTGTTTGGGAAAACCTACTGGGAGTTGCCTCTTTATCTCTGAAGCACTTAATTTCCACATACACAGGCAGTCTTGTATATGGAGCAGTGTGTTTTATATACGTTATGTTCCCTGCAAAAGTGACACACAGAGTGTATATTGGCAGTATTTTACTACTGGTTTCCATTAAAGAATAGTAGAATTTCATTGTGGTTTCTATTTGCACATGGATGTTGTTTTACCATTTTACATCTAAAAGAAACTAACACATTAAGATTCCTTTTTATCTCCTGAAAAAGTGACAATTGTTTGGTTTAATTGAGTATGGTTAGTTTCAGCCAAGTAAGAAGAACAGTTTATGTAACAATGACCAAAATCCATCTAACTACACAGAAAGTGTTTAAAATACTTGAAAAAGCTATGTAAATAAAGCAGCCAGATGTGTGGAAAGCAGTTCAGAGCCTAGTGAATGCATGGGGCACACTTGGCAGGCTAGAGTAGACACCCGAGGTTCCTACTGTTTCTATATCTGGTAATAATAGAACAGCTTTACTTATATCTAGAACTTACTTTCCGGGATAGCCTCCTTTTCTTAAAACTCCAATCTTTGTTACGTATTTTACTATATTAGAGAACAGAGCAAGATATACAAAGCTACCGCATTAAACAACAATCTAATTAAAACCCACCAGATTCTTTTAATTCACCTGATTTGTATTGTATTGTTTTGTTTTAAAATTCTAACTGATCCCCCTTTATAAGGCTTTACTTATTTATCAAGAAGTCTGTTCACAAGGTGAGTTATAACTATTTAAGTAAGGCTGGAGCTGCTACGTGGCAGTGGCAAACCAACTCTGTTCCCCTCTTGCCTGGAACCTGTGCCTGGACCCCATGGATGCAGTCACCATGACTTAGTTCAAACTCAAAGGTAACTTCTTCTTCTTTAACTCGTTTTATGATCTATGTTTATAATTTTGTTTTTAATTCTTAGTAACTTTGCTGGCCCTGATTGGGTGGAAAAGTAGGACCTAAATTTGGTAAATAAGTACTAATAAATGCCAGGATTTGACCTGGAATGCATGAACAACAGATTATCTCTGACCATGCACAGAGTGCATTTCAGTGCTGAGTAACAACAGCCTGATCACAAATATCTAGACCTGGAGAGCAAGGCTTTGTATCAAGCTTGAGCCAGCCACCTTTCATTTTAGAACTAAAACTTTGAAAATAGGAACAGCATTTAAAAATAACCGTTACCATAAGATTGAAAATTTCAGTTTAGCCCCACAGCCCAACTTGAACAGTGTTCAATAGCTTCTTACCTGACACATGGAGCAGAAAACATCCTGTACACAAAAGGGCCACTGTTAACTTCGCCATGATCTCGTCTTCCACTCTTTCAGAGGCTTTGTCTGACAAAGGTGTTAAAGCACTGCTGGTTCTTTCCAAGTGTTAATTAAAAAAAAAGACTAAGCAGGTAACAATATAATTTCCCATTCAACCATGTGCTACTTCCATTCTGCATTTGTCTGAAACATCCGTATCATTCAAACAAGAAAAGATTTGGAGGGGAAAGTCAAAATCCAGACACAAATTAACTGAGGCAGACTCTGGGCTCTGTCATAATAACACCCACATGTCCACATTCTCCTTCTTAACCAATCAGTGAGATGCATGTAGGTTAAGAAAAGGGGTGGGGGAAACTGCTTATATCACAGCCAGTAACACCATCCAGCACTTCTTCCAGCTCACTTTCCTTCCCACAGAGAAGACACTCAGCCTTTCAAACTAATTCTCATATGACTACGAGTCAAGTTGGGTGTGGCATAACCTTGCTTCACATTAATCCACAACAGATTTTTTCCAGCCGTGTGATGTAAAGCTACTTGAGTGCTATCGTCCACATCTTTACTGGTTGGAAGGTAAGGAGCCATTGTGGAGATGACTGTTCTCATTGGCTTTCCCGTCTGTAATTAAAAAAAAAAATTAAGGCAGAGAAAAGACAGAATGGGTGCGTAAACTTTGTATACACTACCAATTAACAACTGCCAGACTTGTCCTCAATGGAGAGCTATAGACAGTGCAATGCAATTTAAACTTTTTTTTTTATTCCAGAGTTAACTCAAATGCTTGTAAAAAAACAACTTTTCTCCAGTTCAGTAGTAGGTTACTGTATTAGGCAACCTCATTAATCAATAGTGCCTTTTAAAATGGAAGGTCTGAAAATGCTGCCATCTAGAGAAAGTAGATTTTTGTGTGGAGTTCCTGTGAGCTACTGCATCGCAAAGGGCAGGCTTCTGAGATATAAACACCCTGTAAGAGTGGGTGAAAGTGCACCTGTTGGGGAAATGTCTGTAGTCTGGAGTGGGCCTTTTTCCTCCCAGTACCTTGTGGCATCCAACTGGAAACCAAGAACAGCCGCCCCAGAGCTGCCAAGGGAGGTCTTCCATCTGTGTTAAGTTTGTAGAACAAAATTGGAGTCTGGTAGCATCTTTCAATACCAAGAAAATGTCCAGGGTGTAAGCTTTAGTGAATCAAAGCTCACTTTGTCAGATATGAGGGGGAAAGACATTCACAAACCAGATCAGGAACTCCACTGGGGACACATCCACCTGGATCCTGAAGAAGAGACAAGCCTGACTTCTCACAGGGTGGTGATGAATGAGAGCTAAAGAGCCCTTCCCCCCCCCCACACGCACACCTTGGCCCTTTCTGCACTAACAACTCACTGTAGCTTACTCCTGAGAATCCAAGCAGTCACAACCTTTAAGGTTAACTTCATATTTTGTGTCCTTGCCCTCTGCACTATTCTTTTTTTCTCCAGCTTATTTTTGTGTATGCATTCTTCATCTACGACTAAACCTCATGTTTTTTGCTTAACTGTCGTTAACATCACTTGTGACCTGTGGAGGAGGTGTCCAATTGCCACTGACTTAGCCAAGTGTGTGAGCAAGGGATGGGGCACACTGCATCCTCCCCCTGTCCTCCTCGCTCTCCTACCCCCTTTGGCTAGCTGCTGCTGGGCTACTCCAGGTATGCATGACCCATAGAGGAATGCCAGCTTGGCAGCTGGCTGGCTGATCTGTCAGGAGGGGTGGTGTCCCAATTAAAAAGGGGAGGCCCTTCAAGCCTCTCCTATTGTTTCCAGGATCCGGCATACCTGAGGGACCAGCTTTCCCCATACAGGCCCCAAAGAGCACTTTGGTCGGGGTCACAACACCACCTAGTGACCCCGGGACCTAAAGAGGCCAGGCTTGCTGCCACAAGGGCCAGGTCCTTTTTGGTGGCAGCTCCTACCTGGTGGAATGAGCTCCCGGAGGAGATCAGGGCCCTGCGGGACCTTTTACAGTTCCACAGGGCCTGCAAGACGGAGCTCTTCCGCCAGGCTTTTGAGTAGGAGCTGCCGCCGCCACTATTACCACCATCGAGTACTGCAGAGCAGTGCCGTCGGGGTGGGCTGATTAGCCATCCGGAACATCTCGGCCCATAGCACGCCCCCTTTCTTCTGACCTCACTGTGACATATATAACAATGAGTATTTTAATCACCGATGCATTCTGTAAGATTGAATTGTGTTTTAAGTGGTTAACTGTGTAATTTTATCGCACTTTGGGTGCCTAAATTGTTTTAATCGTGTTGTATTTTATTGCACGGTTGTGCCTATGTAAGCCGCCCTGAGCCCGCATGCGGGGAGGGCGGGGTATAAATGTAATAAAATAAATAAATAAATAAATATTGTTTCCCATGGGTTATCCTGTCGTCCCTTTTAATACATCTCCCTCCAAGTTGTGTGCAGATTGGCTTTGGGGAAGGGGGAAAAGATCCTTCCCTAGGGTCCAATGTGCAAAGGATGGAGGAAGCGTCAAACTCCCAGAAGACCTCCCCAGGTTGCCCCTCTATCAGTCCTCCAAGTTGTATGCTAGGTGAAAATTAAAAAGAAGCAGAACTAGGGACAGGGGAATGGTGGAGATGACTACAGCCGTTGTCAAGTAGTCTGCTTATTATTCCCTCTGAATCAGAAGCTGATGACTGCGAGGTAACCTCCGAACAGCCATAAAACAATGTAGAATCTGGAAAGAGCCAGAATGCAGGAGGAAAGTGAGAGCGGGATGCAATGCAGAGGGAGATTCTGCTTCCAACGTGGCTGTGCACAAACTGCGGGGGAACAGACGGGTGCAGAAAAGACCCTTGACTGAGGGAAATGACTGTGGGATTAACCTTTATCCTAACCCAAGTATCATTGTGCCCCAGAGACTGCAATGTTCCCTCTAAGCTGCAGAGTCTTGTGAGCAGAAATTCTACTTTGTGAGCTACCGGCATTAAGGTTGTGAGCAAGTGATGTGGCTACTGCATAAATTAGTTTGGTCTGGAGCCATCCTTCCTGAGCTAAGGCAAAAATGTGTGAGCCAGAGGCTAAAAACCTGTGAGCTAGCTCACACTAAGTCAGCTTAGAGGGAACACTGCCAGAGAGCCTTGTGCTCATCAGATCAGCATCTGCTGGTTGTCCCCGGCCCAAAGGATGTTCATTTAGCCTCAACCAGGGCCAGCGCTTTTGCTGCTCTGGCCCCAACCTGGTGGAATATGCCCCTGTTGGAGATCAGGGCCCTGCGGGACCCTATTACAGTTCTGCAGAGCCTGTTAAACAGAGCCGTTCCTCCAGGCCTTTGGGTGAGGTAGCGGGCATCCAATTATTTCAGCTACTGGCCTCCCCTACTGAACCTTCCACCTTCGAATGGCTCATCAGGTGAAGACCCATAGTTTGGTCTATGGCCTATCGGCTCATTTTTGTGGCTACCATATCAAACTGCTGTGCCATCTGTCTTGCTCATAGCTTTGTTTACATCTGTCTTAACTATTTATTGTGGAATATTTTTATGAAATGTTTTAATCATTGTGAAATGCTTTAATTCCTGTTGTCATCCGCTCTGAGCCTGTTCACAGGGAGGGCAGAATATAAGCTGAAATAAATAGTTTTTCAAATATTAATCAGTTGCTGTCCTAGGTTATTGTGGACCATTTCCAACATTTGAAACAAACCAGTCAGGCAAGACTGGGGATAACTGCCCCCAAGTGTCTGCCATAGATGACTTTTCAGCCACTGTCCTCTCTCATAACAGGCACAAATCTAACTGTCCTGCTGCAGGGGAGTAAGAGGTGCAGTTGCTGCATGCTCTCAGTGCTACAGTTCCAGTTAGAGACCCGGCAACCCTGTTCAGGCTGGCTAATGACGCAGATGGAAATCACCTTCTGTAGTATGTGACGTCCTCCTTCAGCACGAGCAATTGGACAGTGTAACACATTTATTCTGTATCTGTCATTGTCGTGTTGTCTTTTTTAAAGATAATACATATATAGCATTGTATATTCTTCTATAAACTCAACTGGCTCAGAATTCATTTCTCCATACCTCCCTTTTTTGGGGGGGCCCTGCCCACTGTTTTCATGGCCCAATTTTACATTTATATCAGTTGATTTTAGGTTGTAGTGTAGTATTTGAACCACCTTAAGCTAGGACGGCAAACTGAATTAGGAAGCATAACGAGAAGTCATTGTGAGATCAGAGTCCATGTTAACATGGAAAATTCCAAAATCATGGTATGCTGAAAGTCCAGGAGATTATATTGAATGTGAAGTTTTAGAAGTTGACCGCTGTTCATTTTTATAACAAGTACATTAACAGTAGGACAAACTATATTTTTCTGCTGTGTGCACTAAATGCATTCTTCAAATACCAAATATGGTCGACATGATATGGCATAGAGGATTGTGTAGATTGCTGATAAAATAGCGCAAAAAAGTATAGCTCATGCAGTGAACAAGTTATATAATTTTAGGTCAATATAACCGGAATCAGACCCTGAGGAGAGAAGAAATGAAAGGGCATAGATTTGGAGGAAGAATAAGGAAGACTGAACACAGGCAAAATTTTGTCAGACTGATGGTGTGATAACTTTTCATCTACCCAGACATGATTAACAGGCCATGCGCACAGACAACTAACAGGGCCATCCTAAAGCAGGTACACCTTTTTCACTTCCATGGGCTTAGAAGGATGCAATTTGTTTAAGAGGGCACTGCAAGACTGGTGCAGGCAAAAATTTTCAGATTCTGTCCACAACTGTAATTATGTGCTTATAGTCAGACTTGTCACAGCCTCACTGTCTAACCAAATCTTCAGTATCTGTCAACAGAGAAGCCATCTTCAGATGAAAGTTCCACTTAACTCCCCCCCCCTTTTCTCTGGTCTGCTAGCAGACAGATGGTTACTAGCCAAGGTCACTTTCCAAGCCCATTTAACTGACACTCATATTCCAGCAGATTCTGGTGGGGGGGGGGGTGATCTGCTCTCATCCAGAATGTTCTCCAGGGACAGCCCTGTGATTGGTGACTGTCAGGAGGACATGGCTTGCTTTTCTATAAAGTATAGGCTATGATAGATGGTACATCTTTTCTTCTGCATTTCTTGTTTTCCTCCCCTTAGTCTATCTGTGTTGCCTATGGACATTTGCTGTATGCTCTGGAACACCCTTTGCTTTTAGTTATAAGCCAATATCTACACTGTAGAACTGATTATGTAGACAGATGGCTTTTTTATTTTTGTGTGCTTGAACTGCCACTGGAACTGTCTGTATTGCTTCTAAAGCCCTTTTTTTGAATTTCTTCAATAAAGCTTTCTTTTGTTTTATGGTGTGTTGTTGAAGAGTTTTCTGAACCAAACCGTTTAAACTTGGTAACACTGTCACAGAGAATCTTGTTCCAGGATCTTGGTCTGAGGTAGGAGATACCCCCTATTATGTGGGGTCCCTCAGGGGGTGCTTCTCTCCCCGATGTTGTTTAACATCTATTTGCACCCCCTTGCCCAGCTGGTTCGGAGCTTCAGGCGTGGGTGTCACCAGTATCCTGAATTCCTGATGACACCCAGCTATATCTGTTATTGGATGGCCACCCGGATGCTGCCTCACATAATCTGGCTGTCGGTTTGGAGGCTGTGGTTGGGTGGTTGAAACAAAGTAGGCTGAAAAGGAATCCCAACAAAGACGGAGGTTCTGTGGCGGTGGTCGGGGCTTCAGGATTGTGTCACAGGTTACCAGCTCTTGATGGAATGCCTTTGACACCGCCACATTCCGTCAGGAGCCTGGGAGTGATTTTGGATCCCTCCTTAAGTATGGAGGCCCAGGATGCCCAGACTGCCACTCTAGCATTTTTTCATCTATGCCAAGCTCGGCAATTGGCCTCTTTCCTGTCACGCCCTGATCTGGCCATGGTAATCCATGCAACGGTCACCTCCAGATTAGACTACTGTAACTCGCTCTATGCTGGCCTACCCTTGAGATTGACCCGGAAGCTCCAACTGGTCCAGAATGCGGCAGCGTGAGTCCTGATGGGAATGTCACGAATGGCACATATACATCCAGTGCTGCACCAGCTACACTGGCTCCCAGTGGAATACCGAGTCAAGTTCAAGGTTTTGGTATTGACCTATAAGGCCTTGAGTTGTCAGGGACTGATGTATCTATGGGACCATCTCCTCTGTTATGTCCCCAGGAGAGCTTTGTGCTCCTTAGACAGCAATCTACTGGTGATCCTCAGCCCTCAAGACATCCGGCTGTCCTCAACCAGAGCCAGGGCCTTTTCGGTCCTGGCCCCAACCTGGTGGGACTCTCTACCAAATTCCATCAGGCCCTGCAAGATCTGATGCAATTCCACAGGGCCTGCAAGACAGAGATGTTCTGCAAGGCTTTTGGTTGAGGACAGCGATGGTTCCATCTTGGCTGACACCCGTCCTGTTCCCTGTTGTTTACCTCTATTTTGCCCCTCCCCCCCCCCCCCGTCCATGAAGTAGCTGGCAGTGGGAGTTGGAATGAGGATTAGTAATTCGCAGTCTGTTTTTAATATTGTATTTATGTTTTAATTTTGTGTTTAATCTCTGGTTGTACATCGCCCAGAGCCCTGCAGTAGTGGGGTGGGGCGATTCATAAATATAATAAATAATAAATAGCCTTGACAGTATCCTGTTTTTCTTTAGTTGTGTTGAACTTGCATTCCAAGCCATAAATATTAAAATCATTGTGGTAGGCAGTGTTTGGTGAATTCACAGAAACCACTAAAAAACAAAACACACATATTTATCTCACAAACTGCTGACTGTACTCCAAATCCTTTTCTAATGCATCCAATCCAGATTATCTATACTTGAATAACCCTATAAAAACATGCAGACAAACAAAAATAGGGTGTTTTATTATTGGTTTATTTTAAAAAAAAGAAAATCACAATTTTTTCTAGATCACCAGTTCTCAGAGGTTCTCACAAGCTAAAGATTCACAACTCCAACTGAAAGTTTAACAACCCAAACAGCTATTAATCTATAAATTGTTTTAGCACGTAACACTATACATGAAATACCAGTGGGAAGAGTGTAGACAATGTTTGTGATTCGCTTAGAGCCTGATGCCCCAACCGAATGCAGGTTTATGGAAAAGTAAATCTCACTGAGTTCATACATATTATGATCACCTGACTTTCTTCCAAGGAATTCAGGGTGGCATTCATGGTCACTTCCCCCCATTACACCTTGACACCAGTCCCATGAAGTAGACTAGGCTGAGAGTGAGGGACTGAGCTAAGGTCATCCAGTGACTTTAATAACTGAGTAGGCATTTGAGCTTTTTCTACCTAGTTGTAATCCAACACACTAACCACTATAACATACTGGCTCTCTCTCCATGAAGGACTGAAGCAAATCTGAAGCACACCTACTAGGAAATATGCCACACTGATTTATTAGCCACCTCCACACAGGATTTCCTATTGCTTCCATGACAAAGTGTGAGTGAATGTGTTTTGGACTACTTGGACATGGCAACATCTTCAGAATCAAGGACACTCAAGTATTCAGTAAAAAAAAAGTTAAGGCATTGCTCTTGGTTTACAAAATGAATTTTACAATTAAAAATAAAATATTGCCACTAAATAAAAGCTCTTTGCCATCTAGCTTGTAAACTTTGCTTCATCCCAAAATATTCTTAGTGGAGTCACAACAGCACAATCCTATGCACCACTGTTCTCAGTCTAACCCCTTTGAAATTAATGAGCTGTCTGAGTAGCTCTGCACAGGACTGAACTATATGGCACATAGTTTGAGGGGAACATAAGTAGTACCCCAGTTTATAGCATGACTGCAAGCTGGTATTTGGTTTTCTGTACCAATGAGTTATTGGAAATGGAGAAATGATTAGTTTGTGGCTTATTCCTGTCTTTGAATAGAAAATTGTCATTCCATACTGGTTTTCTCCAATACACATACAGAAATTCTTACATCATAGTCTGTTTTAGGATTTGTCCAATCTGCATTGCTTAGATAAGGCTAAATTTCAGAGCACAAAAGCAGGCATACTTTTAACTTAGATTTCATCCAATGGAAATAGTCCTTTATATTACTCTCCATTACCATCTCAAGGTATTCCTCCCCATTAAACAAACCAATGTGGAGCACTCCGTGTATTCTGGTCAGTTGTTTGCTAGTGATTACTTGTCTTAAATAGCACTTCAGGATGAATTATTTAAGGCACCTGCAACTGGGCACAAAAACTCTATTACAGGAATTATATATATTTGGAACAAATAGCTAATCAAATTAAAAAGTCACAAGAATATAAAATTTGACGGGAAATACAGAGTTGGCATGTCATAGGCAAGGCTCCCTCTAAGCTGTGGAATCTTCTGAGCAAAAATTCTACTTTGTGAGCTACGGGCATTAAAATTTTGAGTAAACGATTTGGCTATTGCATACATTAGTTTGCTCTGGAGCCATCCTTCCTGAGCTAAGATAAAAATATGTGAGCCGGAAACTAAAAAACTGCACTAGCTCACACAAACTCAGGTCACTTATGAATAATAAGAAGGCACACCCTGCAGCACAGACACAAGATGTTGGGCAGTTCCAATGAAAGACTGCATTCACCAAATTAATTTTGGTATTCCAACATGATACAGCCTCAGGAGTAGTGGCTGCACAAAGGACCAAGTCTTCAAATTATTTTTAATTTGCCAGTGTATACAGTTGGGATAAGGGCAGAATCAGCATTATAGAGCAGAAATATGCATTCTGAATTATCATCTTTGCATTTTAATTGTAACAAATACTAGACAAAATTATTTAAAAAAATATTTTCAGAGTGACAAATATTAAGGCAGTGTGTAATTAACACCTCCATTTCCTGGGTACTGAATAGGAAGATAAATGTCCATGGCAGAAGGGGTTTTACTGACTTCCTGAAGAGCAAATATCTAGGTTTAAAAGCACATTTCCAACACTCTCTCAGATTCTAGTGTGACCAAGAAACAGGATGTGGCCATGCAAAGCTGGGTTGACTCCTAATAAATGGGGTTTTCTCAGGGCCACCAGCACAAGGAAAAAGTTAATCTTTCATTCCCAAATGACATTTCCAAGCATATCCATAGTTATTTTTTACCAATGGAGGAAAGTAAAGCAATACACTTGAGGACACGGAGATGGCAGAGAGCACATGAGTGGGTCAGACTTCCTTGACGGAGGACTACTACTTTACCATGGGTGCAATGTGCTTCTCTGCATGGAGCCTGCAGGCACACACTGCATAAGTAAGGAGTCCTTGCAAGATACAGAGGGCAATCCAACATGAGTGACTCCAGCCTAAGCCCACTGAAGTAGACTGGAATAACTCCTCATAGGATTGCATTCACTAGACCTCTTTCAGTTACTTTTGCCTGTCAAACAATGGGCGTTTTGCTGGGGGGGCGGGAATCAAAAGAGAATTCAACAACCATCTCACCTTTAGCATTCTTACGACAAAAACCAGAGATGAGACTTCTGACAAAAGCTAACTATTTCAACAAAAATGTGTTAAAAGCCAATTATCAGCAACCCCATTGCTTCAGAGTTTGCCACAGATGACACTATTTTGATTTGTTAAAGCTCCCTCTCAAGACATTTCAGCACAATTATTTTAAGTCTCTTTTACAGCTCCAAGTTCTGTTGTTGGCACTATGTGGTACTTGTCGGGGGAACATGCGCATTTTCTATCCAGTTTTGCTGGTCTTTCCTTTATATTCCATTACGATTTCTGCAAAAGAGTGCGTTGAACTAAAGAAAGAAAAAAAGTTTATTAAATATAGGGTCAGTTGATATAAATACCAGTAAATATATTGTCAATTGATATAATTACCATTAGAGGCATCAGAAATATAGAAGCGACAATTAAAATGCCTTATAGCCTGACTCTAAACATGTTTATTCAAGTTCTGTGGAGTTCAACGGAACTTATCTCTCAGTATGCTGGGGGCGGGGGGGAATAGCCCTAGATGTCTGAAATTCTTTTTGCCCTCTTCCCAGAGTATTAGATAGTTAAATGGGATCAGATGAAGTTATTTGCCCTGTGGGGAAACACCAGGAGGAGATCAGATGATAGATTTCATGGGTATCTTGCTTAATTGGCTTTTAAGCAGAATTATCCCCAATGGGTTGGATCAGATTTAATTCCATGCAAAGGAGTGCAACTTCCCACCTCCACCTGCCTGTTACAGCCTACATATCTTTGGGACCGCGTCTCTTAGTATGCCCCTGGAAGAGCACAACGCTCAGGAAATAAGAACTTCCAGGTGGTCCCCAGCCCAAGAGAAGTCTGGCTGTCTTCAACTAGGGCCAGGGCTTTCTTGGCCCTGGCCCCCGCCTTGGGGGACCTGCCAGAAGACATCCATGCCCTGCAGGAGTTGTTACCGTTCCACAGGGCATGCAAGGCAGAGATGTTCCACCAGGCCTTCAGTAAAGGACAGCGACGGGGCATCCTTGGCACTCTTACATAATTCCCTATCCTTTGTACCCCCCCACCCCCTGGGAGGCTGGGGAGCTGGCATTCCTTCCGCCATCTTATATACTATGTGCATGCTGTTTTTATTTATTAGTAATTATTGGGTTATTTTAACTTAGTTTTAAATTGAGCTTTGTACATTATTTTGTAGTAAGCCGCCCTGCTTCTAGGGAAGGGTGGCCTAGTAAATCTAACTGAATAAATAAATAAATAAATGTTTCTCCTCGACGAGCCCAGAAGCAGCATGAAAGAAGTGTAAAAAGCTGTTGTGATGGGTGTGTGTGTGTGTGTGTGTGTGTGTGTGTGGAAACAGTGCACATAGATTTTTTTTTTTAACATAACCCACTGATTTGAAGTCCAGTTACTGCTTAAAATGTCAACTCTGTCTAGGATTGCTTTGTTGAATCCTAATCATCCTAAACCCAAGAATTCTTAGGGGCTGACATTGCCCTACACTATGGCGACAGAACAAACCTCTTTCACCATTATCATGAGCATAAATAAAAAGGAGAACTTTTTGCATTGTTCTGTCTTTTACAGGAAGCTTCTTTGTTCCATACAACAGTATGTGAGCCAAGTTAATCTTTCCTGCCTCCAGCTTCTTTTATACAGCCTCAGCTCTGTCCAAATGCTGTTAACATTTCCCTTGTGCAAATTCTGACTAAACTTTGTTTTACTGGTCTAATCCAAGGTCCAACAATGAGGGGGCTGCTGTCAGACTTCCAGCACATTCCAGTACGATGACAAACAACTAATAACAGCTGATACAATTTTTTCCCCAATCAAGCTTTGATTGTTTCAGCTCTGTAATCTTTAGATTACTTAATAACCCATATCCATCATATACATTCATATTCCATTATTTATAACCCTAATTATTCAGTAAATGTATTATTTAAAGGTTTTTAAAACTATGAATTACTGTTGGCACAGGTTTTGCAGTTTTGATCATGAATCAACATATAAAAGAACATATAAAACTGACAGATTTCACAGTTATCTAATTTTTACTGTGCACTGTATATGCCCAAAGCTGATGCATGCACAAACACACATATGCATTCCCCACCAAATGGATTCTCTAATCTGATTCAGCTGGCCGAACAAGGATTCCCCAAATGGATGCCATATATTTGGCATTCATTCGAGGAATCCCTTTGCTGGGGAGGGTAGATGTTTAAACTTAAAACTTGCTTCTGGGGCTTGTACCTTCCCTTGGCTGGGGAGTCGCCCTGCAGAGGCAGCAAAAGCCCCAGAAGGAAGGGAAAGTGTTTTAAGTTTAAACACCTTCCCTTCACTAGGGAGTTGCCAGGTGTGAAGCGGGCAGGCTGGGGAAGGCACAGGGAGGCAAATACCAAAATTGGGGTAGATCCAAACCTGAAAATAAATAATAAATACTGGAGATTCTTAATGGCCTGAAGGCACATAATGACATTCTACTGCTGAAGTTAAACCAGCCTAGCTCTACTAGGTTCTTCTATGAAGATGACTTCATAGCAACCTAATCCTGATTCTTTCTTGAGAGAATCATAAGCAGTCAAAATTAAGTTCTGCATTTGTATCGAGCGCTTTCCTTACCAGGTGGCTCAGCATGTGCTCCTTGTTGGCTTTCCATATTAACATTCTCTTGATCTGCAGACATAAACAAGAGTTAAGACACTTACCATATATATGTCATGGATGCATACACACACAGTACCAAACCGTAAGTCTCCGGTTAGGTTAGGAGTGCAGTGTTTAGGAGGAGGCGATTCTATGGTGGATTTCCCCTTCTTAATTGTCACACAGGGAAGGAGGGTGGCACGGTATAGGCTGATCTCATCAGATCGTAGAAGCTAAGCAGGGTCAGTACTTGGATGGGGGAACCACTAAAGAACACTCTGAAGAAGGAGGCAATGGCAAACCACATCTGCTTCTCACTTGCTTGAAAGCCCCTTGCTGGTGTCACCATATGTTGGTTATAATTTGATGGCACTTACATACTTGTTACATGACAGCTGGGTTAAGCAAGGCACCCTGGGAAACATCTCAAGGCAAGAACAACAACAACAAAAAGATAAACTCACCACTTGCTTTAAAGCAGAGCTTTTTCTTCTGGTAAGCTATGAAACTTGACACAGCCCCAACCACTGCCACTGCTACTGAGCTAATAATGCCAGCTAGCATTCCACCGCCTGCGAAAATAACATTTCCCTTCCATTAGAAGGCAGATTTGACCTAACTTGGGAGTGATTCTCAAAAACCACTAATACATATGCCAATCCAATGCATATTTTAATTATCAATAAATTATACTCTATTCAAGAGATTTTACTCTCAAGTGCACATAGAACTGCTGCCTTCAATATTAATTTCCACTGGAAGACAAGGTTAGGTATATTTACTTTCTTCAGAAACAGACTACTTCCACAGTTGACAAATACTGCAAAACTAGAAATAAGATCTTTACACAGCCCATCAAACAGGCAAGGGAGGTCCAACTCTCCATGACTTGGCTGTGCTGAACTGCATCATTTCTACTGTAGCCTCACTTTTCTACTGAAGTCTGAAGTGCTGCCTCCAAAATCATTACATTATTTATCCCAAGAATCCATATTTGTAAGCAAAGCCACAGTGACTTGCCAATGGCTTCAGCCTCCATCCCCATGCCTGCTGCAGGTTTATGGAAAAGTAACAGAGGGAGGGTGACTTCAAGAAGAAGTGAGCATGTGAAATTTGGGAACATCAGAAGAAAGTGGAAGGTTAAGTAGTTTATTCCATTTATGCCCTGCCTCATTTATATTTACCTCATTCTCTCAGCATCCATTTTAACCTCACAACAGCCCTGTAATTAATTTTTCTTCCGCCTTTAAAAAAATGTTCAAAAATTGCTCAAATGAGAAGAGAATCTCAGAGTGATGAGAAATTCCTGATAAGTGTGGAGTACAGGTGGAGTTAACAGGGATTACCTTAGCCTTCCTATAAATGCGATACCAATAAAGTCAAGTCAGTCTTCAATCCAGAGTTCGTAAAATAGAGAAAAACTGGCTGGAAGAACATTTTTTTTTAAAAGTCTGAGGGCAAAAAAGGGCAGGGAAAACTTCCATTTCACTGTATCTGAAGAAGTGTGTGTGCACATGAAGCTTATACCTTGAATAAAACTTTGTTGGTCTTAAAGGCGTCACTGGACTCAAACTTTGTTCTGCTGCTTCAGACCATTACTGCTGCCCACCTGAACCTATGAGGAATTTCAGACAGACGATATAATCCGGAAGAGGAACGGTTCCCAAACGGTTTCTGGTCTGTCATTTCAGACAGAACCATTTTAGAACCGGTTCCTTACCGGAATATATTTGTAATTTCAGACACAAACACTTCAGTCCCATTTAGGAAACGGGGCTGAAGCGTTTTACCTGTCAACCGCTTCCAAGTACTCCTCAGTTTCCTCTCCCAGTTCCGATGCGCTTTTCCCCTGCCGTTTTTTGCCCACACGGGCGATCTCCAGCTTTTTTGGGGGACCCTCTAACCTGTGCTTTTTTGGGGGGGGGGGGAACATTTGCTATAACGCAACAGCATTATATCAACCTCATTGAAATGCCTGGAGTGTTTTGTTAAAGTGCTATAGCGCTCTAAAGCGAATGTTTTTTTTAAAAAAGCTGGAGATCGCCCACACAGGCGAAAAACGGCAAGGAAAAAGCAGTGCAGTCTGAAATGGCAAAATGCTTCAGATCCAGCTCTTTACCGGAAGGGGAAAGCTATGTGTGAAATGGCAGCCCTATATCGGTTTACTCCATGACGGATCAAAAACGGCTTCAAAACGGGTTAAAAAGGGTAATGTGAAATTCCTCTATGTTCTGTAGACAGACTTTCAGCATCAAAACACACGTCTGGGATGAGGCATACAAACCACTGCATGTACAGTACGACAATATGCACAGACTGAAGCGAACAGATACTATCTTTTAGGCAACGGGGTAGAATACAGATGATCATTAACAGAAAGTTGCCACTTGGCAAGCTGGTCATCTCAATACTCCTACCAAATAGTGAGGATTTCACCAAGGATCATGTGCTTATGTACGCTAATAATATGCGGTATAAAATTTGATCAGTTTCTGTAGCCAACCTAGTTTACAATCGATTAGGACTTAAAATACCATTATAAAAACATATACACTTACCTTCAGCACTTTCACCAGTTTTAGAATCTCCGCCCTGCCCATCTGTGAGAACAGTTTTGTTAGAACATTTTTCTTACATAATACAAATCCTATTCTTTCCTGCAATGCCTCAGGAAAAGAAAGAATACCTTTTGGCCAGTGTTAGCAAAGTATAAGATGGACAACAGTACTGCTTGCAAAAACAACCATCCATGCAGGGCCAGTGCTTTTATCAAGATGCATCTTTACTACAAAGTCTCAGTTTTTGCTCACTCTTTAAATAACAACCTTGAGGACCCACTGGGTGGAAAGGTGCTTTATTCTAAATCAATCAATAATCAATCCCTACTACAAGCACCAGACCATATAGCAACAGTTATTCCAGTATAATATAGCAAAATAGAACACTCAATGGATGTTGCACATAATTTTAAGAATTAGGCTAGCATTTAGACAGAAAAGAGTCAAAGAGCTGCTGTTTGGGTTACAGTTCAAGTTAATGCAATTCAGAAGCAACTTAGTTTACCGCATTTATTTGGAACAATTTATGACCAGGAGTAAAACAAACACACCACACGGATTAAATCACTGCATACAGGGGAATAAGACTTTAGTAAATATTTCTAGGTATAAACTTTCCGAAAAATTCACACTTTTGAAAAAAACAGCCTTCCTTATGAAGCATACTGATGTGTATGTATTGTAGCATTTTTTTCTGAAGAGGTCTAAATATATCACCAATACACTGCAGTAGCAGAAAAAGGAAATATTCAAATTACCCTTGCTTTTTCCCTTTTAGCTTTAATTATCTTCATGCACAGGTATGCCCTTACCAGTCACCAAACATGTGGTGTGCTGCTGCCTAACTATGCCAACAAGAATGTAGCTTAGACCAAACAAAACAGGGGTTGTTTTATTTTGGCTTATTCCAAATGAAGCAGTTTTGATATGGTATGATCAATGGTTCTTAACAGTTCACAGGAAATGCCGAGTTAACTTGATTCTGTGGTGATGCCCCCAAAGGGAGATTCCTTGAGCACATTAAACCAAACGTAATCTAGAACACAGGATGGCTCTTTCCACTGTTTGTGCTCCTTTCAGGGGTTTCTAGAATGGCTGCTTATTATTACTCTAGGTCATGGTTTTCCCGGCCTCTGTACATACTTGAAAAAGCAGGCAGGCGGCAACCTCCAGTATTAGTCTACACTCTTTACTGTGCAATCCTGAACAGAAGTAAACCCTACTGAGTTCAATGGGACTCCCTGCTTCGGCGGGGAGGGTGGGGTATAAATCAAATAAATAAATAAGTATTCTTAGGGTCGCAACCTTAGCATTTGAACAGGATGAACTGAATAGCTTTATGCAGTGTAAAGTTGAAAGGCAATAAGCCAACATACACACAGTTCTTTTTTAGACAATGTAAGTGTCTCACAGAACATCACACAATCCTGTAACAAGGATTTTAAAGGAAAAAAAAGAGAGAGAGAAATATATGAAGAGCTGTACCTAGTAGACCTGTCTTGGTGACAAGTCCGTACAAAGAAATACAAGGGTACACCCAAACTGAAGACTCAGCAGTAACTAATTCAATTAACTTTGACCAAAGCCCACATACCTGCAGACGGGTTAGAAGCACGGCCTACATTAAGAAACAAAAAGTTGTGCATAACTGTGTTCACAGCAGAACTGAGCCACTAAATTATCACTTAGAAAACACAAGATAATCAATTAGTCAGTTAGTCAGTTACATACACCAAGCCCATTCTAGCTTTTCAGGGTTGCCAACCTCCAGGTGGTAGCTGGAGTTCTCCCGGGATTAGATATCCAGGTGACAGAGATCAGTTCGCATGGAGAAAATGGCCACCTTGAAAGCTAGACTCCATGGCATTATACCCCACTAAAATCCCTCCTCAAACCCCACCCTCCTCAGGCTCTACCTCCAAAATCTCAAGGTATTTCCCAGTCTGGAGCTGGCAACCCTACTTTTTATACTTTTTTTAAAAAAAAAAACAGACTCTGCCAGATGCAGCCTAATGCATGTATCTTGCATAATCAGCCCAAAGCTAAAGTCCAAAAATCATCAAGCCATTTATCATGCACAAATCCATTAGGAGCACTGGGGAAAATAACATTCAAGAAAAATCATCATGAGGATTTCCATGCACCATTCAGATAGATAGCCCTGTTTCCTTCAGGTTTGAGCAGCAGAACCACACCCATCTAGGCACACACACATCAAGAGCATAACTCATTTTCAAGCACATGATCAACACCGATAAGCTATTAAAGGGAATAAATATGAAGTGTCTTCAGAGCTGGCCACAGTAAACAGCACTTTTGCTCTGAAAATAAAGCCTCAAGGCAACAAAGCAGAAATGCTGTGTACAGAAAGAAATCGAAGGAAACACAAATGAACCTCTCTTAAGAGTGTGAAAGCTAAGAGAATCTGATACATCAACAACTGCTGTAGAATTAGAACCTATGGGTTCCACTGATATAGTGTGGGGACTCTGATGCTTCTCCACTCATACATGTAAATATTCTGAAGGACAGGCAGACTGTACCTCAAAAGGCAAAACCACTCGACTATATTGTTATAGTCTGCTAAGCTTGGCAGGGATTTTCCAAACCTACTTTAAACACTGCAGTCAGTAGTACATCCTACAACTATTCATCCAAAAGACTCAAGGGAAAGTACTATAACCAGCTAGTTCTGCTGAGACTACTTGGCTAAGGGCATACCCCCAACTGCTCACAAATTGGGACTCCAGTTTCCAATCTGATTTATTACATAAGCTGGGGGAGGGGGGATCTTGCTGGCAGCAGATGAATTTCATCTGGAGCAAGTTCCCCTCACTGCGGGTACTATAAAGGTTGGGTATGGTCAGAGGTGTAAGCCAGAGGGTGGTTTGTTTATGTATATTGTATTTTTTTCCTGTTGTTGGTAACTTTAGGTTCCTTTAGGGAGAAAACTGGGATGTATGTGGTTTGCTAGGAACAGTTAATCCTCCACAGGGATATGGTTTGGTGAATAAAATTAATCAAATCCTTAAGAGGATGCTAAAAATGTTCTGTTGGTGCCTGGAGAATAGGGATAAGAGCCTCAATTTTCAACAGGCTTTTCTTCCTGAATGTTCATTCATTATAATGTGGGAAAAGTGTAAAAGAAAAGAGTCCGATTTATAGAGTTCAAGGGAATATGGGGGGATAGATATTTTAAATAAGCAAATAGTAGACAATGTAAAGGAAGCCCAAAAGAAACAGGTTAAACAGCTATCACTTGAAAGGGAGTGGGGTTACTGTTTTACTTTGAGGACAGACTGCATAGGTTTCATGATAAATAGCCTAGAAGAGATAACATTGTCAGAAGGAAGGATATATCAACCTGCTAAAATCTTGGGTGGACAAATAATGCAGATGTGAGCCCAGAAGATTCTATAAGAAATGAGATACTTGACTAGAAGACAAGGAGGAATATTTTGAGAACCTTTGACCATGAAACAACAACATAATTTTCTGGCCAGATTTACAATAATCTTAATACAAGAAGAAATGAGAAAAATATGATTTAACTTGTATACACAGTATCTTGTACGCTTTCCTAAATTATCTCATGAAGTACTTATCTTAAATCTGAAGCAGATACAAAAGTAGAACATGTAACTGAAACATCACCAAGTTCACCAGTAGTGACCGTTCCAGCTCCAATCAAAACAAAATGAGTTTTAAGCCTCCCTTAGTTCGTAGCCATTGCTGTAACTATATACTACTCAGAAATGGGAAAGATCACAATTTCTTTCAGGCCACTCCTTAAACCAATTCCCCTTAGAAAAGAAAAAGCTACAAATAAAGAAAATAAAGTCTGTCAAAAACTTACCCCCTGGTTTTTGTGGAGGCAGCGTCCCATCAATCAAGTCAGTATCACTGAATCCCCCTATAAAAACAAATTTTTGCAAACAAAGAATTTAAAATGAAGAAACTATTTATAGCTTCTAATTCTTTCTGTTTTAAGTTTTTCACCATGGAATCCTTTGCATCTTTCCAAGAAGCTTTAATCATATCTATTAGCAAATAAATTTTATTGCTCAACAGGACTTGTTCCAAACAAGTTTAAGATTCACTTGTAAAAATCTGTTGCATGGACTAGCAAAGCATTTATTATGGTTGGGGAAACAGTTATATCAGTGCAGTTTCACAAACACCTTTGTATCCTGCCATCATGACCAGATCTCTTGAGAATGGCATATACATTTTCTAAATAAATAGTCTTGCATTTAGGTGATACCTTTGAGCATTTCTTTTATCACACGTTTGCTCTGTAATATATTCTCAATTCATTCAAAAGTTCAGAGGTCATGGTAACTCTGCTTTAACTGGGCTTGCTCAACATTCTGGTTACAGAATAACTATGTCACACTGATCAACCATGGTTAGCGCTCATCCAGATATAACTCCACTATATAGGGTTGCCAGCTGTAGGTTGGGAAATACCTGGATGTTTTGAGGGGTGGAACCTGAGGAGTGCGGGGTTGGGGAGGGGAGGGACTTCAATGGGGGTATGATGCCATAGAGTCCACCTTTCAAAGTGGCCATTTTCTCCAGGGGAACTGACCTCTGTCACCTGGAGATCAGTTGTAATAGCAGGAGATCTCCAGCCACAACAAAATACAACCTTGATATAATAATTTCAGACAGGTGATACATTCTGGAAGAGGAACGGTTTCCAAACGGTTTCTGGTCTGTCATTTCAGACAGAACCGTTTGAGAACCGGTTCCCTTCCGGAATATATTTGTCATTTCATACACAATCGCTTCTGTCCCATTTAGGAGACGGGACTGAAGCGTTTTACGTGTCAACCGCTTCCAAGTACTCCTCAGTTTCCTCTCCCGGTTCCGATGCGCTTTTTCCCGCCGTTTTTCGCCCACACGGGCGATCTCTGGCTCTTTTTTTTTAACATTTGCTTTATAGTGTTATAGTGCTATAACGAAATGGCATTATATCAATCGCATTGGAATGCATGAAGTGTTTTGTTATACTGCTATAGCGCTATAGCGTTCTAAAGCAAACGTTTAAAAAAAAGCCGGAGATTGCCCGCGCGGGCAAAAAATGGCAGGGAAAATGCGGTGCAGTCTGAAATGGCAAACCGCTTCAGATTCAGCTCTTTACCGGAAGGGGAAAGCCATGTGTAAAATGGCAGCCCTATACAGGTTCACTTCAAAATGGATCATTACTGGCTTGAAACCGGGTGAAACTGGGTAATGTGAAATTCCCCTACGTCTTTGTATTAAACACCATGGTACCTAATGGTTTGAATTCAGCTCTAGACCTAGCTATTTGTAAGACATAAAATACTATTTTTGTAAAGTAAAATTCCCTGATGATTGGTCTTAAATTTTGTAAACATTTTGTACAAAATTTAAAATTCAGTGTATGTTGTAACAATGTTGGGTCTTTTAAGACGTACAAGCACCTGCAGCCAATTAGAAGTGCTGAGTCAGTAAAATTTGGTGAGAGTTTTTGAATAGATACCACTGATGATCTAGCAAACCGGATGCTACTTAATAAATAAGACAGTATTCAGCAGAAAGCTGGGAGTCTGTATAACAAATAACAATGGAATATTAAAACCTGGAGAAATCAATGTATGACCAATGCACCAAAAAGGCTGGGGAGGCTTTTTAAAGAACTGCATATTCTGATAAGGATATTGTACTGTAGCTATACAGGATCTGCCTTGATGAAGCATTTTTTTCCTGTAAGTAACCCTTGAGGAAATTTTATTCCATTTGTCTGAAGAAGTGTGCTTTGCACATGAAAGCTTAAAGGTAAAGGTTCCCTTGCTCGAAAGCCAGTTGAATCCGACTCTAGGGTTGCGGTGCTCATCTCCGTTTCAAAGCCGAAGAGCCACGCTGTCCAAAGACGTTTCCGTGGTCATGTGGCCGGCATTACTAAACACCAAGGCGCACGGAATGCTGTTACCTTCCCACCAAAGTGGTACCTATTTAACTACTTGCAATTTCTTGCTTTCGAACTGCTAGGTTGGTAGGAGCTGGAACTAGAGACGGGAGCTCACTCCATCATGTGGCAACTCGGGTCTCGAACTGCTGTACTACTGACCTTCCACAGCCTGCAGTTCAGCGTCTTAACTACTTGAGCCACCACAGCTCCTACATGAAAGCTTACATTCTGAATAAAACCTTGTTGGTCTTAAAGGTGCCACTGGACTCAAACTTTGTTCTGCTGCTTCAGACCAACACGGCTACCCACCTGAATTTTTCTTTGTTTGTTATTTGTTTATAAAAAGTCCTATTACCTAAAAATAACTATATGAGATACATTTCTTACAGTTGAACAAAGTTGGAGTCCAGTGGCACCTTTAAGACCAACAAGGTTTTATTCAGAATGTAAGCTTTCATGTAGGAGCTGTTGTGGCTCAAGTAGTTAAGACGCTGAACTGCAGGCTGTGGAAGGTCAGTAGTACAGCAGTTCGAGACCCGAGTTGCCACATGATGGAGTGAGCTCCCGTCTCTGGCCCCAGCTCCTGCCAACCTAGCAGTTCAAAAGCAAGAAATTGCAAGTAGATAAATAGGTACCACTTCGGTGGGAAGGTAACAGAGTTCCGTGCGCCTTGGTGTTTAGTCATGCCGGCCACATGACCATGGAAACATCTTCAGACAGCGCTGGCTCTTCGGGTTTGAAATGGAGATGAGCACCGCATCCCTAGAGTTGGATTCGACTGGCTTTCGAGCAAGGGAACCTTTACCTTTACTTTACATATAAGACAGAGGATGCTTCGGAATGACACGGCTACCCACCTGGATATTTCTTACACTTATGTATCTGAAGCTCTACCCCCTTTTAATTAAACACTATGGGTCACCTGGGCTAGCCCACTCTCATCAAATCCTGGAAGCTAAGCGAAGTCAGTCCTGGTTAGTACTTGGATGGGAGACTGTCAAGGAAGTCCAGGGTTGTTACACTGAGGTAGGCAATGGCAATAAAACCCCACCTCTGTTTATCTCTCATCTTGAAAACTCTACAGAGTTATTGGGCAATTAAATGCAACTGGGGATGGTTAAAAGGGTTAAAAGATTGACACAGTTCATAAGAAGTACAAAGATGAAACGTCTGAATGAAGTATAAAAAGCTAGTTGGAGATCTCCTCTCTTGGGTTTTTAGTTAGTAGTGGGTTCTTTACTTTCTCCCTTATATGTAGTTTTCCCTTTCCCTTTTTTCTGTTCTAGTTTTTGTAGTGTTTAAAAAATCAATAAAAAATCCCCTCCGGGGGCTTAAGAAAAAAGAAAGAAAAGAAAACTCTACAGAGTCACCGTAAATTGGCTGCAACTTTACAGTACTTTCCACTACCACATGACTGCCCCCCTCCATTGTTTTGATATAATTTCTGAATGATTGGTCTTTGCATAGAATTGTATTCGTGGCAATCATTCCAGAGATCCCGTTCTCTCCTCACTTTGCCCAGTATTCCCAATCTGACTTCAGTCACCACACTGGGATGTTTTAAAGGTCAGAGATTTGGAATTAAGTGTAACTAAGACATGGGCCAAACTAGAGGTGATGGGTTCCTCGTGACCGCCACAAGGATACCACCATCATTTTAAAATGACACGTGGGCTTGATCTTGATTAGGCCTGCAGCGCAGCTGGCTGAAGGTCCCTAGTCCCCCCCCACCAGCACACTCCCAGCTGTTTTGGCACCTGATAAGATGCCAGGGATGACGACGATGACAATGACAAGAATGCCATGCATGTTTAAATGATTTTAAAATAGCAGTGGCCTCCTCATGGCAATAGAGATCCCAGCCTCCAGGTGGGACCTGGGGATCCCCTGGAATTACAGCTTGTCTCCAGATAACAGAAATCAGTTCCCCTGGAGAAAATGGGTGCTTTGGAGGGTGGACTGCAGGGCATTGTACCCCACTGAGGTCCCTGCCCTCCCCAGGCTCCAACCTCAAATATCCAGGAGTTTCCCAATCTGGAGCTGGCAACCCTACCCCCCCCCTACCCTTCCAGTGGCCGGGGAGACCCCGCAGCCCTGTGTGGCAGCCATGAGGACACTGTCATGTCTAGTTTTGCCCTGAGTGACTTCTACTCGTATGCTTGAGGAAATCTTCAAAAGTTTAATGATACTACAGGCTATCCAGTAAATACAAGAGAAGAAAATCTTATCCCCTCCAATGCTGTTAAGGTTATGTTTTTGGAAAAAAATATCTTATACCTATAACCAGACATAAATTAAGAGGTTGGCACAATTTACAAATAAAGTTTATTTCCTCCTTTAGAAGGGGTTAAAAGATAGCAATTGGTTTCAAGTCTCTTTGCCAAACAATTATATTGGAGTGCTTTATGATGGACATAGTGAGTCGGAAAATGATACCGTGAAAATGTACAAGCCCAGAGGCAGAAAACATGTATCAGCCAAGCTTAAGAGTCTTACTGTAAATTTTGAAAGGTAAGACCTCCTGTAATGATTCCTTGAGTTATGTGTGTGTGTGTGTGTCTCTTTAAAAGTTTGGTTGCATGGCTGTGATAGACTAGTGTGGTTGAAGAGGCAAGTGTGGTGTGATTGGTGATTGACAGAGAGAAGGAGGGGTTTTGGAAGTGATTCTGAGTGGATGAATATGTATGTCTGTCAGGAGTGACAGTTACAGGAGACAGTTGATAAGTTCTGAGGTCTGTGAGAGAGAGAGAGTTAAGTTCTATGTATGAAGGAAGTCAGAGAGAATAAGAAAAAAGTAAATGAAAGTTTAAATTGAAGACAAATTATAGGAAAGGCTGTATGTCCTGATAACTTGGAGAGAAACAGTGAACTTATAAGTCCTTGAGTTAAAGTGTTACAAAGTTAACTTAAAGATCCCTGTCAGTAAGGGAACAGATCTTGTTATACCAGCTCTGAAAGGAATACTTCCTGAGGACCACATAGTCCTTCATGAGGCTTCAACTCGACCTACCTACCCAGTAAAGAGCCAAAGTAAAAGCATAAAGGTTTGGAAATCCTTAAAATTTCCTGGTGGCAGCCAGATATACCCAGCAGAACAAAACATAAAGAACACTTTAAAAGGGAAACCAGACCTCCCCATTAAAAGGGGTCGTCACACCTCCTTTTTCACTTTCCAGGAGATATACTTCCCCCTGGCCCCTAGGGTTGTCAGCCTCCAGGTGTTGGCTGGTGATCTCCTGGGATTACAACTGATCTTCAGGTGACGGAGATCACTTAACCTGGTAAAAACGGCCACTTTGAAAGATGGACTCTATGGCACTATACCCCACTGAAGTCCCTCCCCTCCCCAAGCCCCGCCCTCCTCAGGCTCCACCCCTAAAATCTCTAGGTATTTCCCAACCCAGAGCTGGCAGCCCTATCCCTAGATAGGACTCCTAGTGATTCTTAAACAGACACAAGTCTTATCCTTTTATGAATCTTTTCATAAACTTAAAAAGGCTACGTTGTAAGTATCAGCCTTTCTCAGTAACCACATGCCAACAGCCTGCCTCCTCAGAAGCCAGACTCTGCAAGCTAGGATTTCTTAAACCTAACTGAAAGAAGACTTTTACAAAACCTGTGCTTAAAGGAAAACCATGATCCTGTCAGATAAGGATTTCAAGAAGTGCTTCTAGAGACTCTTACCTCCAGGGTTGCTGTGACCTCCAGAGTTGTCGTGACCTCCAGGCTGCTGAGGTTGACTGGGTTCCTCTATTGACAGATAGTGATAAGAACAAACTTCAAAAATGTGTTAAAAACAGAAACGAGGTCTAAAAACACAGGAGCGCTACCAGAGCTGGACTCTCTACTTTGCCTGTCTTCTTCCTAAACTCTGCACTACATAGGTTGTTCTTATTTATCAAGCAGGATAACATCCTATAGTTAACAACCAACATTTATTAATTTCTTTTTTAAAAAGGGATCCAGATTAAGACCAGGAAACAGACATACATACACACAGACACCATATTATTCAGTTGGTTTCTTCCTTTCTGGTGTTTTTGTACTTTTGTGTGTGTGTGTGTGTGTGTGTGTGTGTGTGTGTGTGTAAGTGTGCATGTGCACCTGGAAGTCATGGCTACTTCAAGGATATTCAGAGAGGTGGCTGAATAAAGCCTACCCCTGCCTCCAATCTCTGGTATTCCAAGGAGGTCTCCCATGCAAGTACTTCCCAGAGTCGGCCCTACTTAGCTTCCGAGATCTGATGTGATCGGGCTTGCCAAGATCTGATGAGATAGGGCTTGCCTGGGCTATCCAGGTCAGGGCCTTATTCAGTCAGTTTCCTGTTCAGCAGTGTCCACAAAAGCTTCCCTCTTGAATCTAAATAGCTTGGGGATTTGGCACAGGGATCTGCTCAGCAGACAGCTGTCAAGAAAATAATTTTAAAATATATCATGATACTAAAACTCCAGCCTATACAGATACTTAAATATTAGTCCAGTCTGAATTTCTCAAAATGTCTTTAAATATGTACAGAAAATAATCTTCCCTGAGCTGAACTGAATATTTATTCCCGAATACCACCTCCAACGCCTAAGAATTGTCTCATGCTAAAACATACAGGGCCAGGGCAATGGCTAGATGGGGGCCCTGGGGGTGGTGCCCCCTCCTGAATCTGCAACACCCCCGCCCTGGGAAGATGCCAGGCCCCCTCACCCCCCGGTGCGCCGTGCTCCTTACCTCTGCAGGCAGTCGCCATAGCTATTCCTGCGCTGCTTTCTGCTTCCTACTATGGTCAAGCAAGAGGTGGGGGAGAGGGGGGCAACATCGCTGGGTCTTCCTGCTTCCGCAGCCAGCTTCCCAAAGCCCCTTTCCCTCCTCTCCTGCTCAACTGCAGCAGGAAGAAGGAAGCAGCAGGAAGACGTGGCAAGGCTGCATGGCGACTGCCTTCCAGCAGGGTAAGGAGCTACCCCTCTCCCTCCCCTGTGCCTCCGCCAGGTGCAGTGAGGTGCCAGGGTGGACCATTCTGCCCTGCCTGCCTGCCTGCCAAGCCTCACCGGTTCTTCCAGCTGCCTTAATTTAATAAACAGAGCTAATGTAATTAATACCCCCTCCCCGAAGAATTCCTAGTTACAGGCCTGTATTTTGGAAACCACTGTAATATGGGAAATACTCATGTAGTTGGGTGCATGACAGTGAGCTTCAAGCTCAACAGTATCTCCCATTACGCAAAGAAAATCTTCATGAGAACCCAGAATTTCTGCATTTGAATTGCAGCGCACATTGGTGACAACAGCACTACCTGTCTGCCACAAAAAAAGGAGCAAACAGATTGCCAGCAAGCATATATACACATAGCTTCAGATTTGCACTAAAGAATCTATATGTTCAAAGGGGGAACCAGGGGAAGAGTGCACAAAACCACTTCTAGGCCCCCATGCCTGCCATGTGTATGATTTATATGCCCTGTCTGTGGGTGAACCAACATACATGTAAGAACACAGTAGGAGGGAATTATGCATTTCCTGTAGTAAAAATAAGAGAAATGTTGGTTTGAAGAGGCAAAGTGTGGAAGCGTGAGAAAGGGATAAATAGATAAACATGACAATTATGAACAGGGTTGTCTGAAGATGGTATTGCAAGAAATAGGAGTGAGAACTGGGGTGACGACGACTAAATATCTCCAAAGAGGAGCTGCAGGGCGGCAGGGCATGTCTGAAAGCACTGTGCACCTATTGTTACCGTTTCTGTGCACTTACTGCTGTGTTCCTATATGTATCAAGTACTGCCATAAACGTCCAAGGTTAATTCTATCCTTAAAATGTCTACTGAGATTAAATTGGGAACAAGCTGTCACACAACACGGAAAAGATTCAGACTGCAACTTGTATTCATTTGTTTAGTGAGAACCAGGTCAGTAGTTTATTGTTTGGCACAATTTTTTTTTTACAAGAAATAGTTTAAGGGGGGGGGGGGGTCTGCACGCCTGTCCTCGTGAAATTAACTTCCAGTCTAAGAGGGGATCTAAGAGGGCTTCCACAGAGAACCAGCTATGTGGGGAGGGTCTCCAGACAAAGAGCAGAGTGAGCAACTTCCATGTCACTTTCAATGCCAGTGTTACCTACTAATAACTAAAAAAACAAAAAGTGGCCAGGCCTGGAACACAAGAAGGGCTCTAGAGGATTACCCCTTCCTGGAGGGAGTAATAGAAAACAGAAATAATGATCCTTCCTGGAGGGAGTAATAGAAAACCAAAATAATGATTCCCATTATGTCTTTACATAAAATCTTTGCTCAAATAACACTTTTTAGACACTTTTTTGTCAATTAGGTGGCTAAAAATTAAAATCCAAAGTTAGGCTCCATTTTACAAAGTGTTTGGAGTCTTCTTATACTTACCCCCACCTCCAAGGGCATCCTCTAAGCTAAATCCATCATCTAAGAGGGAGGGAAAAAAGCATTTTATAAATTTTCCCCCCAGAAATGGTCTGTAGAATGACTCAACCCCACAAATATCCCATGCAAAGTGGGGAAAACAAAGAAATCTGCAAACACAACAGAGAAGCTGCCAGTGAAAGGGGGAGGGGGAGAGCAAAAAAACCTGTCAGATCTGCTAATAAATAGGAGCCTGGTATGAACTAATATATTTACAGGTTTGTAAAATATATAATGGCAGTGTAATTCCCCAAGACAGTCATGACACAGACAGTTTGAAAAAGCTGCTCTTAGATTATTTTGAAAAACACTGTCATTTCAAACAGTTGAGTCAAAGGGACTTGTTTGTACGTAACAGAATCTTGTAATCAACTGTACAGAATTATGAATGTTTCAGTAGCATTCAAGCCTACATAAAATATATTTACTTGAGATTTTTATCTGTCCTTGTGGATGAAGTACCAGCTGAGTTGCAGTAGTAACAGGAACCACATACTTATCGTATCAGGCTTTAAATGTTAAAATGCCCACATTTGACAATCCCCCCTCAAAAATACTGTTTCTCTATCCATTTAACTGCACATAAGGTTATATATCGTCTTCGTGTAATCACGTATTTGTATACAACCGTTCCTCAGCATATCAGTAAGGAAGTCTAATTACTATTTGTAGGACAAACGGCTATTACTCACCAGATGTTGGCTTTTTGGACCCTGTAGCTGGCTTCTTTGTAGTTGTAGGTTCTGAACAAATTAAAACATTCAGTATTTAACATTTGAAACAGTCAGTGACCATAGGGGGAGAAACTAGGACTGATTTTATGATTTGCCCAGTTATGTGACAGTTTTATAGTGTTACTACTGTTTTCTAGACAGAAGCAAAGCATAAGTCACACGTGGTTAAGATAACTTAGAGTTGCCAGCCTCCAGGTGGTTAGCACTGGAAGGAACACAGTGTAAATATGAGCCAGCAACGAGGAAAAAAACACTGTAATGAGACGCTAAATAAATCTAATAATTAAATAAACCTATGCGTGATTAATTTTTATATACCTAAATAGTGAATGATATATGATTATGAAAACAAAAGGCTCAATTGTGTACTCAATTACAGAGCAGGTAAGTACAATTTTATAAGTATTTAATCAAGAGATGAATCATCAAGAAGAATTCACTGAAGAAAGAATCTTCAGCAAAACGTCTTCAGTGAGACCAGCATCAACGTTACAACTATCTACAGGATGCTCTCTCCAAAGTTTATGTAAATACAAATAAAGGTGACAGTCATTCCAAGAGTAGTTCTGTATCTATTATTGAAATCTTGTCTGAGGGACACCACTGCAAAATCAAACTGAAAATTAAGCTGGAAATTAGCCAATACTTTCTGACACTACCTTACGATCACTCAGGAATCAACCAACCTTTTCTTTTTGCAGGAATTTAAGTATACAAAATGTGTGACTGATCTGGAATTACCAACTGCTGTAGCTTTGTTGAAGCCAAGGGCCTAATTACAAGATACCGTTCTGGGTTGTCCCTGGGTCCTGTCAAACTGACATGCACTGGGAGGTCCCACTTGAAGCTTAGCTTCTCGGAGGTATGGAGGCCAATTCAGACTGGACCAGGAGTTGGTAGGAAAGGGGGCTTAAAACTCCCCCACACAAAACAACAACAACAACAACACACACACTATTTCCGTGATCTGAAAAGGCCCTGTTGAGGAAACTTAGGTCCATAGGTAAATTCAAGTTTCCCCCAACGAGAAAACAGCAGCACCCAGTCAGGAAAACAGCATGGGATTAGGCAAGCATGTTTAAGCCTCCTTGACACGTGGTCCCAACCTGAAATCAGCCCCCACATGCCTGAGAACCTAAGTCCCAATCTGGAACTTTCAATGCATATCTGTCTTACAGGGCCTGGGGACCCAGGGAGTATACTGCATACTTAGGCCCTCAGTTTAAAGGGTGTGCAACGCCTGGACAGGAGATCACCTGAGAGCCCCATGCTAGCCACTCTGAGGTATCTAAAGAAGAAGGCAAAGATGCTTAGGCTTACACAGGGGTTTATTCCAGCTCAGTAAATGCTTTGACCTCCTGTTTTCCTTGGAACAGGGGCCTCAATGCTGTATCAGAAACTGATTTGGAAATCCCTGCAATTTTCAACCACAGCTGGCCAAAGGCACTGCTGTATCTGAAAAATTACGTGTTAAGTTTCCTTGTGTTCACAGAATTTGTTCCACGGTCTTTGGGTTTTAGTGTATAATCCTAACTGGTCTAGCAATCACAGACCACACTCATCCTGGTATTCATTTGCTGACATAACATCTCTTTCAATCAAGATGTCTATCATAGGGTTTCAGGTACTACAGTAATTCCCACCCACTCTACACAACCCTAGGTCACATTTCAGGACTTGTTTATGTCATCCATCTTGTTCCAAATTCTTGTGGTCCCAAATTATAGCAGTAATCTAAAGATGCTCCACCTTGATCATTTGCTCTGAAACTATATAGGATTGTGTGGTTAAGCAGAATGTAACTGTTTAATTCAGAATTAAATGCGCTTGATACCACAGTATCAGCATTATTGCAAACCCCACAAATATTCATAAACATTTCATATGGCTTTTGTTGCTTACCAGTGTCAAATGCATCCCCCAAGTCAAAATCTTGCCCTGTTCAATTAAAAAAAAAGAGTTTATTGTTTTGTTTCTGAATTATAATTGCAGTTCTAGCTTCCTTGAACCACGACAAAAGGCTGGGTATAAATGGGTATCAATGCGCAGCTGTAATGGGGTTGAAAGTGACTTACACGGCATTCCCTCCTACAGTACAAATTCCACCCCACTCCACCCCACCTGGGTTGTCAACCAGTGGCAGCCTAGGCTGATGGCCATGCCACTTCTGGAAAAAAAACCTGGAAGTGACATCAGTGTGCTCTACAAAGCACCGGAAACTCTACGTTTTTCCCTCTAGACGTAACATAATGTCATTAGGCTGATGGCATTCTTAAAAAGACTTTTCCCTTCCACTCTCCCACTCGCTGCCAGAGCAGCGGCCGGAAATGGGAGCGGGGGACAGGGGATCCCCACCCCTGATGGGAACCTGGCAGCCCTACTCCTCCTGTTGTAATAGCATCACATTTGCTACTTTTAGTTTCCATTTAACTGTAGGGTTTGCAAACCCTGATTTAAAATCCTGGTTAAGAAGAAACCTATGGTTCATATTAAGTACAATAATTAAGGCAAACAAGGAAGGGAGTATTCATGTCATGTTGTAGGGTTTCCAGACTGGGAGTGGGGGATCCTCCACTTTCAAGCTGGCTGCCAGGGGGGACTTACCATCAGCAAACTGAGGCCTAGGACTCTGTCATCAGTCACATGGTGACATCTCTGTGGTATAACATGGCTTCTGTCACAGGGTTTTTACCCAAATACCAGAGTTTTCCCATGCCACCAGAAACATTATGATGTCCGGCATGCACCAGAGGTGATATTGGCACGTTGCTGGTGACAGAGGCCTACACCACAGTTTGCTGCCAGTAAATCCCTCCCCACCCCCACCAGCTGCCAGGGGGTAACTGGCAACCTTACGCAGTTGCTAGCTTTCCATTTGCAACAACCCATAATGTAAAAGGCAGAATTAAATATATCAATGCTGGAAGGCTGTAATTACATGCAGAGCTGGCCAGTTTTTACCCAAATACCAGAGTTTTCCCATGCCACCAGAAACATGATGATGTCCGGCGTGCACCAGAAGTGATATTGGCACGTTGCTGGTGACAAAGGCCTACACCTCAGTTTGCTGCCAGTAAATCCCACCACCACCAGTTGCCAGGGGATAACTGGCAACCTTACATAGTTGCTAGCTTTCCATTTGCAACAACCCATAATGTAAAAGGCAGAATTAAAGATATCAATGCTGGAAGACTGTAATTACATGCAGAGCTATCTGAATGACCTTGGGCTAGTCATACTCTCCCACAGTAACCTACTTCACATACTTGTAGTAAGGATAAAACTGAGGAGAGAAGTTGCACTGGATCCCCACTGAGGAGAAAGTCAGGGTATAAATAAAGTAAACAAATGAATACTTTCATGTTTCTTGAACTGTAAATATATGGGATGTAGCATATACGTAAATAGCCAGTTGCCTACTTAGCTTATAGCAAGAAAAAAACCACCTAAAAACAACACAACAGGGAAACTTTTTGCAAATCAGAAAACGTGGATCTCTTTTGTTCATACCATTCATGTGCCATACATGAATACTCTAAGTATACAAGTAGACAAGCAAAAAATTCTGTACACCAGAAACGTTAAGGAAATACTCTCATGAAATATTGACTCACTGTGGCCAGGAACATAAGAACATAAAAGAAGTAGTAGAAGATGATACTGGATTTATACCCCGCCCTTCACTACCCAAAGGTGTCTCAGAGCGGCTTACAAACTCCTTCCCCTTCCCCTCCCCACAACAGACCCCCTGTGAGGTAGGTGGGGCTGAGAGAGCTCTTTCAAGGACTGCCCTTTCAAGGTCAGCTCTTGTCAGAACTACGGCTTGCCCAAAGTCATCCAGCCAGGTGCACGTGGAGGAGTGGGGAATCAGACCTGGTTCTCCCAGATTAGAGTCCGTGCACAATAAAAACATAGGAGAAGCCAAAGTTGGATCAGGCCAATGGCCCATCCAGTCCAACACTCTGTCACACAGTGGCCAAAAATACCAGGTGCCATCAGGAGGTCCAGCAGTGGGGCCAGGGCACCAGAAGCCCTCCCACTGTTGCCCCCCCAAGCACCAAGCATACAGTGCATCACTTGCCCCAGACTGAGAGTTCCTATAGCCACTGATGGACAGGAGGAAAGCTTACCTCCCCCCTCCTTTGTGCTGCAATACTGACTCCATATTGAGCCCCTGCAATGCCTTGTGACTTCAAATAAGTGCTGGGAGCTCCTTACACAAAACCCCAGAATATCTTAGGTAGGCCCCTCATTATGAAAGAGAAATCATGATGTAACAGCCATCAACACTGCAACCAGGCTTCATCAGGCATGGGCACCATCTATGATAGAGGTTGCCTAGAGCAACAGTGAAGCCCACATGACTGGGAGAAACAACAAGGGAAAAGACCACAATTTCCCATCCTGCTTGTAGGCCTACATGCATCTTTTATAGATGAACAAAGAACCCAGTTGTAGACAAAACCCACTGGGTTTTGGGAAGGTATATGTGATGCTTATGTCCGATGCATCATAGAAGCTGATATACATTTGCTGTATCATCTCCTGAAACTGCTTGATAGAGAGTTAGACATTAGCAAGTTTTAAAGTGGAAGGGCCAGAATATGACTCATGTGACAGCCAAAAGACAGCCTGCAACAGAATTAGTCATCTCATACTGTGGGCATCATTCTTTCCAATGAGGCAAAAACTCTGACAGGATGTTTATTCGCACTGCCAAGCAGCCCTTTATAATTAGCTCTGCAGCAGCATACCACGATGCTAGACAGGCTTAACACTGTGCTGCAGTTCCTCAGATTTATGCATTGAGTACAATTGTTCCAACTTAAATAGCTGCTGTATGCAGAGATAGATTCTCCCATCCAGAAGAAGTCCTTAAAGGTGCATTCTAAAATGTACATCAAAAACACTCCACTAGAATAAGCTGGGGTGGCGAAGGTTCTAAACCTAGGAGAAGCTAGTGAACACCATACGGTCATGTGCCACCTTAATCTTCTCATCTCATACTGAAGATGGGGCCCCTGCTATACTGCCATTCTTTCTTTCTGGCAAGCCACCATACTGTCAACTCCTTTTTCTTACTTGATAGTCCAAGTTACAGAATTTATTTTGTGTACATCCTCCTACTGTGATCACAAGTTGTATTCTTCTGCTCCTTTCTACTCCATGTTCAACTACTCTCCATTTGTCCCATTTCTTATTTTGCCTAACTGGCTCCACGGTTAGTCCATGGAGATTGTTTTTGCTATTTACAGTTGCTACTTTGGTGTCCTCCAGTGCACAGATACAAAAGGAGAGTATCTTCGAGGCTTGCCTGTTTTACTCTACTTCAGGCACGCCTCAGAGCAAAACATTTTATTATTACTTTAGTTTTTAACTTAAGTGTTCTTTCTTCTTCATCTGCTTTTCTTGTCAGCTTCTCGCCTGCGGACCATTTTATGAGTATCATTTTAGGCTGCTGAGTGGGATCTTACGCTCTTTGCATTCCTAGTTTAATTGTTATGCTGTTGGTTTTGATCTTACTATTTTACTTACAAAGTAGAGTTGCCAACTCCAGGCTCGGTAATACCTGGAGATTTGAGAGTGGAGCCTAGGAGGGTGGGGTTTAGGAACGGGAGGGACCTCAGTAGTATATCGTGCCATACGGTCCACCTTCCAAAGCAGCCATTTTCTCCAGGAAAAGTAGAAAAAACATTTTAAATAGAAGAAGAAGAAGAAGAAGAGATTGGATTTATACCCCACCCTTCACTACCCAGAGGTGTCTCAGAGCGGCTTACAAACTCCTTTCCCTTCCCCTCCCCACAACAGACACCCTGTGAGGTAGGTGGAGCTGAGAGAACTCTTGACAGAAACTGCTCTTTTTTTCAAGAACAGCTGTGCCAGAGTTATGGCTTGCCCAAGGTCATCCAGCCAGGTGCAAGTGGAGGAGTGGGGAATCAAACCCGGTTCTCCCAGATTAGAGTCCACGCACTTAACCACTGCACCAAACTGGCTCTCTCTGTAGTCTGGAGATCAGTTGTAATTCCAGGGGTCTCCAGCCCCTAACCAGAGGTTCACAATCCTGCACCAAAGTTACACATTTACCCCCCCTTGAAATCTAATCAAAGGAATGTGACAATGAAACGTGTTTAAACCAAGCCAACTTTATTTGCCGATATAATAATCTCTTGTGTAAACCAATAGTTTCTAGAATTTGTTATTCAGAACATGGTAATTATACATAAGTAATTCTACACTCCGTGGTGGCTCAGAGGTTAAGATGCTGAGCTGCAGACAGGAAGGTCTGTAGTTCAGCAGTTCGAGACCCTAGTGCCGCGGGACGGAGTGAGCTCCCGTCTCTGGCCCCAGCTCCTGCCAACCTAGCAGTTCGAAAGCAAGAAATTGCAAGTAGATATATTAATAGGTACTGCTTTGGTGGGAAGGTAACAGTTTCATGCACCTCAGCATTTAGTCATGCCGGCCACATGACTAGGGTTCCCAAACGGCGGCGGGGGATCCGCGCGTGTTCGCAGGATCGCTGCCGCGGGGGACAGCAATCCGCACTGCACCGGCGTCGCCAGGATGTGACGCTATGCGTCGCCCTGGCAACGGGACTCCAAACAGCCCCGTTGCCAGGGCGACGCATAGCGTCACATCCTGGCGACGCCGGTGCAGCGCGGATTGCTGTCCCCCGCGGCAGCGATCCTGCGAACACGCGCGGATCCCCCGCCGCCGTTTGGGAACCCTACACATGACTACGGAGAAGTCTTTGGACAATGCTGGCTCTTCGGCTTGGAAACGGAGATGAGCACCGCCCCCTAGAGTCGGATTCGACTGGCTTTCGAGCGAGGGAAATCTATACCTTAGTTCACTGATACAATTCAATACTCTAAAATAAAGCCAAATACACATGACATGCAAGTTCTTTTCAACCCCTTTCCTGGTGTTGGCAGGTATGC